TGGCCGGTGTGGTGGTGTTGTCCACCATGCTCTCCGTGATGGGGTTCCGTCGAGGTGGTTAACTGGTGGTGAGGTGGGGCTCCTTGCATATGCACTCTGGGGGGTTGGAGTTAGTTTCTTCCCAGACGTCATAACGCGCCTGAACGTCATCGGTGGGTCGCACCGCAGGCTATGCAAGGACCAGGGCGTATTGGCTGCTGGACGCTTCCGTTTTGGGTCATAACCGTCTGTGGTCCACGCCGACGGCTGCCACTAACCACCACCACCTCACAGCCTGCCGCCGTCGCCGCCGCCGCATTCTCGCGGCTGTCGTCTGGCTGATTGCGAGTCCAGTGTGGCGGAGAGAACATTTTCTGGCGACAGAAACCTGTTCCGGTGGTTCAGCGGCTTCGGAGTATGGGCGTGGTCTCTCCTAGTTCATGCTGGAGCTCAGCCGCTCGAAGCTAGGTAACTCTGCGACCTCACCAACGCCAAAGAATCCGGCAGGGCGGGACCGTAACGTGGCAGGCTCCGTGTTTTACGGAGATCCACTCCTGACGGTCGGGTTACAGATGCGGTAGGCCGGAAATCGGCATGCCGCTAACTGAGAACTTCATCTCCACGGGCTTCGTCGGTCCCACCACCACCACCACCAGGCCCATCTTAGTCGCCCGCTCGCCCATGCTCTGGGATCCAAGACATATCGCTCCGCACCTTCCAGAGCATTTTCGACCTTCTGTGAACAACAGGACGGGAGCGCAGCCGCTTCGATTCGTCTGATGATTGGTTCGGCTGAACTTGGGTGTCACGCATGCGCCAAGTCCGCTAGGATGGCAGTACGGCTCAGTAAGGAAGGGAGCCAGAAACGAGGTGAAGAAGAATTACCGAAGTGACAGCTTCTTTGACTCTTTCTCGTCAAACCTCGATCGTCGCATCAGTGGAGGAAAGCTCGATATCGCACAGCCAATGGCTAATGTACGGTGACATCTTTACCACCAGCTTCTTCAGAGCTTTGGCGCGAGGCCTCAGCCAGAGGATTGGCTCCGGTATTCGGGACCTTGAATAATGGATTCCATGACGAAGGCGTTAGCGCGTTCAGAGTCTGAGCATTACAAGAGCCTGCCTGTGGCAATCACCGACGAGTTTCATTCGGGGAGCATGCGGCTCGGAATCACAAAGCTTACTGTAGGTTCTGAGGGAGGTTAAAGCAAACCTCTGCTGGCCTCCAGATCTCATCGCGGGTGGACACCAGATGACAGCCGGAGCCGATTTGTCTGTTGTACGCAGTAAATTCATGCTCACTCGCCCCCCGCTTTACGGCTTAATTCTGGCTCCACTCTGGCGGTCGGCATCCGTCCGAATGACAAGGGGCATATATCGGTCAAGCAACTTTGAAAACCGTGGTCTGCGGAACGGCCAGACGGTACGATATCGCGGCGGAAACGTTGATCCACGGGCGTGGCTCACACGAGCGACAGGTATTGGGCGATCGCGAGGCGACCTGCTCCTCCCCGACTGTGTCCTTCACCGTCTCTCGAGGCAGTTTGCGCGGACAACACGAGGTTCCCGCCGAAGCTGCATGCAAGTGCGAGGTGACACTCCCAAAACCTGTTTTTTTGATCCTGCCGTGCGAGTAGCCTCCCTGCGCCGGCTTGGCCGGCTATCATGGCCCTCTGGGGGCTTCGAGACGATGGTTCAGATGAAATCCGCACCTTTCCGTTGGTCGAGAGCCGCCGTTTCGCATTAGACTTTTTCTCTATTTTTTTCTAGACGCCCGAAGAAAAGCAAACATTCTGCCCGGCCGGATAATTTGACGGGCAGCATTCTCAAGGCCGTGGTTGATACGGCTGAAAACGGACCAGACGTCACCAGCTCCGCCTGCTGGTGTAAGTGATCACGTGGTTTATAGCCTCTTGGCCGGAAGGACGAAGAGCGAGCTTCGTTCCATCGCGCAGCTGAGGTTGTACATGTCTGTTTACTGAAACAGGCAGGTGGTTCTTCTATGAGAAGGGTGCTATTGATTCCATCTCGCAGCGCCGATCATGGAAGAAGGAACGTTTGCGCCGCAATCTGCACGAGGAATCATTAGGGAGGGGACGTGGGCAGCAGCAGCATTCCCGAGTGACGAGGGGCAGACAACATGGCCCACGAGCAGATGGCTCCGAGACGTGGTAAATATTGCTTCTCGCGGTATATTCAACTTTTGGAAGGATCCGGCAAAAACGTAACGTGGGGCCCAGTAAACATTAACAAACATACCCTGCAGATTCGGCTGTCGGGGTTCTCAAATAGTCTAACGGTGATGCTCCCAGTCCTGCCAACTGCTAGGGCTGTCGTGATACCCACATCACCGTTCTCCCAAAGGGCGGCCGAAAGACCCCTTGGCAGGCATTCTTTTCGTGGAGACACCTAGTTTTTTTCCCTCCCCACTACCATTGTCCACTTACAACAAGACTTTGGTGGCCACACTGAGCAACCATGCCGCATCCTGCCAACCACCCTCGTTAGCCTTTGGGGGCGGAATCCGCTCTTCCGGGGCGTTGGGCACGCCCTCAAAATGCCGTGCTGACCACGAGCGGAGCTCCTGCGCCTCGTCGATTTCATGTCCAAAATCACCGTCCATGTCTTCGTCGTCCGACTCTTCCTCATTTTCTTCAACCGCGAACAGCGGCCATCCCAGGATATTTCCCACCCACGAAGCGGCACCAGCCCTCTCCCCCTTGACAAGTCTCCTGACGGCAGCTTCGTCATCTTGAGTCGTGTCAAAGTCGAAGGCTTCGAGCTTCTCGTCCAGATTGACAAAATCGGGCCCGGGGACGAGCTCGTCACTGTCATGGTGACGGGGAAAATATCCTTCGTCAGAGTGTCGCTCCATGGGAGTCAACATCTGGCTTCTGGTGCCCGCCCTGCTAGCTGACCGACTTCCAGGACGACTCGGACGTGCGGAATGGGTGTAAGCTCCGTCCATATCTGCAAGGCTGCCACGCCGGCTGCCGCGACGACTAGCCAGCTCCCGCTCGCGAGCTAATTCCCTCTCGAAAGCCTCGTCTTCCGCGTCCCTTATGCCAGTCAAGCTCGTGGAGCTCTCTCTCGACACGAGCCACGCCTGGCCCTTGAACTCGCGGCTCTCGTTGCTGATGAGCGCGCCGGTCCGCAGGAGCCAATCGCTGTCATTGGGGTCTCTGGCGGAGAAGTCATCCTTGCGGCGGCGGACAGTAGGAGATGTGGTGCCCGAGAGGGACTTTCGGTAGTGGGCTTTGCGGTCGTTGGCGGCGGGGGCCAGGTGCGTTGCGGACTTGCTCTTGGTGAGCTCGGCGTGCGGTACGGAGGCGCGGCGGACGTGGGAGTTTGAGCGAGCGGGTGAGCGGGTCAGAAGGCCCGGCGTCGTGGGTGCGGATTTGCCCTGCAGATAAGAGGTGCTGTGGGCTGGCGAGGCGAGATGGTCGGGCAGGGCATCGTCGTCTTGCATCGGCAGCCTCGAGGTGAAGGGGGCGAGGGAGAGGTGGTTCAGGTTTGTGCTGGAGCGGTTCTTCCGACGCGCCTGATTCGCGTACTGCTTATATGCCTCCTCCATTTTCTGGTGCTGCTTTGTATCAGGCCTGTGGTCTGGCAGGTAAGGTAGGTTGTGTAAAAGTATGGATGAGTGGGCGCGAATTGGTTAGCCAGATGACGACTGGGGAGACGCAAAGCAAGGGTCTAAATGGGTCGTTGGTTCTGGTGACAGATGTGTATATGCAGGATAGGAGTTCGGGTGGTTTCGCTTCAGGTTATATGGGAAAATGGTTGGGAAGCACCAGGAAAGCTTGTTGAGGAATGGAAAGGGAGTCGACCGGCTCGGCCATTGACGGGACAGCACAGTCTGTTGCAGCAGAGAGAGCTACGCCCGGGGACATGGCTTTTTTGCATGCGCTAATGGCAAAATCCGGGGCAGCCAGACTTTTGGCCGAGGAGGGAGGAGACGATCGGCTTCCAGGGCTGTGATTTGCTGGCCGGGTCCTGCGGGGAGGGCGGTGATTGGATGCATGATTACGTAGGTACAAGCCGACTGGCGAATGCGCTCGGGTAATGCTATGCGGATGAGTGCCGGTCTGCTTCTTCGGCCCCCTCCCCTACGCAGTACTGCATATCCTTCCTCCCGTCATGCAACCTCTCTACGTTACGGAGGTCTTTGCGCTGTAGTTCTAGGCCTTGGTCGCCTGTTGTTCACTCTGGTATGGGCTGACTCTAGCACCATGTTGCGAGACGCTGTTCATGCAAGCGGTGTTTTGTCAGGTGGTGTTTAGGGTCTCGCAGCGGCCCGGCTGTTACCTTTTTGCAGTGGCCGTACAACGATGGAACAAGCAAATGATTTATCAGAGTTTATGCCCTTTTTCCCCCCGTCAATATGGAAGAAAATGAATCGGAAATGGCCGTTACGAGAAACTCCGTGGAGCTTGCTGAACAGCTCTGGGATTGCTAGTCTACTTTGTGTGTCGTCCTAACAAGAATCTGGAAGGAGAAGAGAAAAAAACATGGAAGAGGCGACGACAAGTGTAGCAGAGACGAGGCAATCCTCAACTGAAGCTGTGGGCAAGCGCGGAGGCGTGTGGCTTGCGGCGGGCGGAGGCGGGCTTGCCCCCCTTATTCCGGGATACCCAATCCGCCGCGCTGCTTGAAGCGCCCGCCCGCCGCCGAAGCAGAGGGCGAGCTTGGGCCCCGCCAAGGTACTCAGGTACCTGACGGCGTGCGGCGCTACCAATGTTAGGGCGAGGGGCCTCTTAGTGTGCCCGCGTATGGGCCGCGACGGCGCATATGAGATTTTCAGCAAGTGAGGCAACGGAGGGGGGTCAAGGGGGAAAAAAAAGTTGCAGTACCAGAGGTGAAGGCGGGACACACTCACGAACGCAACGACTCACTCACTCACTCACTTGCTTCACAACCCGACCACCACCACCACCACCGATGACACTGCGGACATAACCGCAATCGGCCGAGGAATCACAAGAGCCGAGACTCACGAGCCAGAGTGAGGAAAAGACGATATGCGGAACCTGCGCAACATTCGATACGGCGCCTGGCTGCCAGAGTCACCGTCGGCGGCTGCCGTCACCTCGGCATGCTGGGACCCCGCCAAAGACGAGGTGCTCTGCACCACTGGGCCGACCGAGGCGAAAGCCACCATTGAGCTGGTGAGGCTGTCGGACCACCAGCAACAGCAGCAAATGTGTGGCGCCATTTTTCATCTCTGTCTATGCCTCTCCTTGCCCCCTTCCCCCCTACCCTCCATTACCTAGTTTCTTAGCGTTGTTTCTATGTTTAACGTTGCAACCGGTTTTCCCTGTTTCACTATGGTTGATCGTTTGACGGTTTATTTCACCCAAGCTCCTAGACTTATATCACCAGGGTCTCGGGCGGCGGTCATGTGGCTGTAGCTGTGATTGTTCAAGCTGACATGGCTACGAGTGGCTTCGGACTGTGCACTACACGTGTGTGAAGCGGTGGCGGACTTTTGACTAACATGGCATCGGCAGTAAATCACACGTCGTTGCGAGCTGGGATGCGCCGAGCCCGAGCCCGGACCTGCCCGCGGACAGGGTTGTCAGCATCCACCACTTCAGCGATACCCTGACGACATGTATTATCCTCGAGGGGGGTGACATAGTCACGGTCCAGGAGGATGATGGCTTCAGCGGCGCTGGCGATGTTCAGATTGAGATTGTCGGCTCCATTGACGCCGGCATCGCTGCTGCGGGATGGTCCCCTGACGAGGAGCTGCTCGTTGTCGTGACCAAGGAGGGAAATGCTGTCTTCATGGGCAGGACGTTCGATCCTATTGCCGACGTCGAGATGACCGCGGAGGACCTGAAGCTGTCGAAGCATGTCTCTGTTGGATGGGGCAAGAAGGAGACGCAGTTCCAGGGCAAGGGTGCCAAGGCGCTTCGTGACCCGACGATTCCTGAAAAGGTCGACGAGGGACTGCCGAGTGTGAATGAAGACGGGAGCGCGGCTGTCAGCTGGAGGGGTGACGGCGCATATGTCGCCATCAACTCGACCGCTGGCGGCGCGAGGAGAGTCGTGAGAGTCTTCTCGCGCGAGGGTGTGCTTGACAGTGTCAGCGAGCCCGTGGATCACCTTGAAGGCAGTCTCAGCTGGAGGCCGTCGGGCAATTTGATTGCTGGCATTCAGCGACTGCCCGAGAAAACTGACGTCGTGTTCTTTGAGAGGAACGGTCTGAGGCATGGGCAGTTCACGCTCCGCAACGCCGACGGACCCCTGAGCGAGCATAAGAAGATCCGGCTCGAGTGGAACTCTGACTCTACCGTTCTGGCTGTCATCTTGAAAGACAGGATACAGCTATGGACGATGGGCAACTATCACTGGTATCTCAAACAGGAGCTGCCATTGGCGTCCGAGTTTTCCGGGCTCTCTTGGCATCCCGAGAAGCCGCTTCGTTTCGCTGCCGCGACAATAGGTATGATAGCCTCTTCGGTTCTGAAGTTCGTGACGTTGACTATAAATCAGGTGGGGTGAACTTTGCCGAGTATATCTTCACCGTGGCCCGCGGCTCCTTGAGCCCCCCGAACGACCACGGATCAGTCGCCGTGATCGACGGGCAAACGGTCAAGCTCACCCCTTTCCGGACGGCGAATGTGCCGCCGCCCATGGCATGGGCTGAGCCGGAGTTCCCTGCGAGCGTCGTTGATGTCGCGTTTGATCCTAGCAACTCGCTGATGGCGGTGCTGCACCGCAAGGGACTGGACATCTTTCAGTGGCAGACGAAGGGGGGCAGGTCAATACGTCCCAAGGAGCTGGCCAAGGTTGTCTTTGATGCGGCTGGAGTCCCGCTCCAAGTGGCCTTCTCGTCAAAGACGGAGTGCCAAATTCTGGCATCTGCAGAGGGCCTCAAGGTCGAGACCTACGCTGTTAAGGCATCGGGACTGAGTCTCACCAACACCACTCAGCTGAAGCCCACGGAGACCATAGCATCTATCTTCAGCTACGAAGGCGATTCAGGGGTTGAAGCCATCGCTCAGGATCGTTCAGGCAAGCTGTACAGGCTGTCCAGTCAACAAGCCCCTGAGCTGCTTGGGACACAGCTCTCAACCCAGCTTCCATGGTGCGAGGTGAGGGGCATCAACGGTAGGCCTGTGGCTCTGGGCATGGCCAGGAATGGTCACCTCTACGCCAATTCTAAGCAACTGGCCAAGAATGTTACCTCGTTCGCCGTCACCCCGGCGCATATCATCTTCACAACCAGCAATCACTTTCTTAAGTTTGTACACTTGGTGGACCCAGAGGGTATGTCATCGCCGTGATATCAATGCTACCGTTGCTGACGATCTACAGAAATGGAGGTTCCCGGGGACGACCCGGAGATTGACGAGAGATGCCGAAGCATTGAGCGTGGCGCTCGTCTGATCACAGCCACTCCTACCAACATGAATCTGGTCCTCCAGATGCCGAGAGGAAACCTCGAGACTATCTACCCCCGTGCTATGGTCGTTGCTGGTATCAGGCAACTCGTAGACGAAAAGAACTACGGCAGAGCCTTCGCTTTCTGCCGCACACAGAGAGTCGACATGAACATCCTTTACGACCACCAACCAAGCCAGTTTCTTTCCAACGTTGGTCTTTTCCTTGAGCAGCTCAAAGACATTAGCTACATTGATCTCTTCCTGTCATCACTGAGGGAGGAAGACGTCACTCAAACAATGTACAAAGACACGAAGCGCTCCCCGAGGTCGTCAGAGCCAGAGCCCGCCACAAAGTCGTCAAGATCCAAGGTCAACAAGATCTGCGACGCGATCCTCAAGAGCCTGGCTTCCAAGAAGGCTACAAACCTCCAGAACACCATCACAGCCCATGTCTGCAAAGACCCACCAGCGCTCGACGATGGACTTACCCTTGTGTCGGAGCTCATGCAAGAGGACGAGAAGCTCGCCGAGCGCGCCGTCGAGCACATTTGCTTCCTCGTCGACGTCAACCGCCTCTACGACAACGCCTTGGGCCTGTACAACCTCGACCTCGCTCTGCTCGTTGCTCAGCAATCTCAGCGTGATCCGAGGGAGTACCTCCCCTTTATCCAGAACCTGCACAAACTTCCGGACCTGCGCCGCAAGTTTGAGATCGACGACCACCTCGACCGCAGGGCCAAGGCTCTTTCCCACCTCAAGGCCTTGAACGCGTTCGAAGAGCTCCAAAACTACGTCGTCAAGCACTCGCTCTACCAAGAGGCTTTGGGCTTGTACCGGTACGATCAGGCGCGTCACCAGACCCTCACCGGCCTGTATGCAAGCCACCTCGAGTCGAACTCCAAGTACCGCGACGCGGGTCTCGCCTACGAGACCCTGCAAAACTTCTCCAAGGCGACAAGCTGCTACCGCGCCGCCGGCGTGACATGCTGGCGCGAGTGTCTCTTTGCGGCACAGCAACAGACCCCTCCGCCGTCGGAGGACGCCTTCACAGAACTCGCATCAACACTCGCCGAGGCACTGTGGGAGGGTAAGGAGTACGCCGCCGCGGCCACGATCCACGCAGACTACCTCTCCGCCCTCGAGACGGCGGTCAAGTGCCTCTGCAAGGGGTACCACTTCGCCGAGGCCCTCCGCCTCATCGCCCGCGACCGCCGCCCGGATCTGCTCCCTACGGTCTTCGACTCCGGCCTCGTCGAGGCGCTCAGCAGCAGCACCGAGTTCCTCGCCGACTGCAAGTCGCAGCTTCTCGCGCAGGTGCCCCGCGTGGCGGAGCTCCGCAAGAAGGCGGCCGAGGACCCGCTGGCCTTCTACGAGGGCGAGCGGCCCGGCGGGCATGGCGACATCCCCGACGACGTCTCCGTCGCGGCCAGCTCGCGGATGAGCACCAACGCGAGCTTGTTCACGCGGTACACCGGCAAGGACGGCAGCGTGGGCACGCTCGGCACGGGGGTGTCGCGCGCGACCAGCAAGAACCGCAAGCGCGAGGAGAAGAAGCGCGCGCGCGGCCGCAAGGGCACGGTGTACGAGGAGGAGTACCTCGTCAACAGCGTCCGCCGCCTCGTCGAGCGCGTGGAGGGCGGGGCCAAGGACGAGGTCGGCAGGCTCGTGTTCGCGCTGGTGCGGCGGGGCATGACGGAGCGCGCGAGAGCGGTGGAGGTGCTCATGGCGGAGGTCGTTGAGGGGTGCAAGGCGGCTGTCAGGGAGGTGTTCAACGTCAAGGAGGAGACCGAGGCCGAGGCCGTCATGGGTCCCGACGGGGAGATGTGGATTCCCTCCGGAGCGGATGCCGTCCTGCAGGAGCATCTCGACGCGAGGGCGAAGAAGCTCGAACCGCCCGTCCTCGGGGCGTTCCAGAAGCTGACGCTGTTGGGATCGTAGATTCAGGGGTTTAGAAGCTTAGACGCGATATACACAAAACTTCTTTGGCAGAGATAGACGCGGCTTTTTGGGTCTACTAAAAGTACAAAATTGCACATTTGAGATTTTACTTTGCTTGTTCATACATAACGCCCCGTTTCCCGACGTCTCACATCGTGGCATTCCCCTTATTGAGGCGGCGGATGGCTTTCCGCCGTGGGTGTTTCCGGGACGGCGGCTTCCGGGACTGGCGCAACCTCGGACATGCCGGCAGCGTTCAACGTTCTCGCCTTGTTCTTCGCAATAACCTCGCCAATCTTCTCGAGCATCTCCTCCGTCAGCTCGGGTTGTCCGCGAGCACGGCGGGCCAGACGCTGCTGGGTGTTGAATTCCTGCAGCGGCGTGCGGATGGTGGCGGCGGCGTCCGGTGTCAGCCTCTTGCTCGCCTTCTTCTGCATCTCCTCGACCTCCTTCTTGAGGATGTAGTCTTCCTCGTGGCGGGTGCGGAATTTCGAGTACTTGTTGCGCAGCTCGTCGATGACAGTTTCCGGCATCGGCGTGCGAAGGAGGGTTGGAACGAAGGTCTCTTCACTGACTTGCTCGCTCTTAGTATCGACTCTGTACTCCTCAAGGTTGGGTTCATCTGCCTCGGGCCAGGGGATAATCATGTTGTAGCCCGGAATCTGGCGCTGGAAGTAGAATGACCCGTTCGGCAACTTGCGGGGTTTGTAGCTACGGAGTTGGCGGATGATTACGTCGCCGGTCGAGCCAGTTATGGGATCTTTGATTGGGTGGACGAGGCGGATGGACGAGATGGGAACGGCTAACGGAGCGTTTTGCGTGGGGGGCGCATCTATGGCTTTTTGGAAGTTCTCGGAGACGGCGATGGTCATCTGGTGGATGTTAGCTTCTCTTCTTCGCCCCAGAAAAGGGCAACTGCCTCCTCCGTACCTTGGCAATGTTCTCCAGCATTACGGTACCCGTCGACTTGTCAATGCTCTCGATGCGATCAATCTTGCCCTTCTCGGGGCCGTCGAGGAGGACGACGCGGTCCTTGGGTTTGAGGCAGAGTTGGTTGACACCCCCGGCCCAACTGCACCGATTTTCGATCTCGCTGAATTTGAGACCGGTCTGGCGACTGTTGCGATTGACCTCCGAAGCGCCCCATTCGGGTAAGAGGTCGCGGCGCGGTGCTATAGTGCCCATACTCCATTTCTCCTGGCGGATGAGGCGGGAGGTCCTGATATCGTCGTTGAGCTCGTCCAGTTGCTGGCGCTGTTCCCTGAAGCGCTGCTGCCTCTGATCGGTTATCTCGTAGCCCTGGCGCTTCTTCATCTTTTTCGCGAGGACCTTTTCGGCCTGTCTCGTGCGCTTGATTAGTTTCTGCATCGTGGGCGAGGAGGGGGGCGGTCGGGGCCCGCCGCCTATTAGACTCTCGAAGGTCTCGTAGTTCGGTTCAAGATGATGCCACCAAATTCATCGAGGTCCCTGGGCGCTTTGGCGGTGATCGCTGGGGGCGTTCGAAGAGCGGCGGCCGTGGTGGTGCTATTGACGGCCCTCGAATTGGTGATTTGGAAATTTCAGACGGGCCGGTAGCTTCCAGGACCCCTGCAGCTGGCGCCGGACCGGGGCCACGCTGGAAACGGGGCTGTTCACGGATAAATGGTAGCGCCGATGCTCCGGATCTCTTCTGAGGTGCCCAGCTAGGTTTGACTCCGCTTTCCAAGGTTGTCACTGTCCCATTTGCTCGGTGTCAAGGATGGGTTGATGGACGAATTGGCGACACCCCCTAATCCCCCGGCCCAGGGGAGATGGCCCAACACTTGGCTGGGTGGGATTCTATCCCAGCGCGCGTGTTCGTCGGTGCTCGCTCCGGAGGCTACTTCAACGGGGACTCGACATGTTTCGACCCGGCTCTCAAAAGAGATGAGGTACGAATTGAACTCTTCTGAATGTGTTCTCGTCTTGCAATTTCCGTGGTTGATGCCGCATAAGTTCGTTGAAAGCATCTCATGGCTATCCAGGTTGACGGGGCCATCATGCAGGATGTACGATGATCCCTCAAGAACAAACCAAAAATAGTCATGGGAAAGGCTAGTCGGCAACAAGAAAGATAGTGGACGGGTTGTTGAGTTGGAACGTTGTCTAGTCGTGCCGATGGCAACTCGTGATCGCATCCATTTGTTGACTCGAAATGGGCCTCGAAATGGGCACCTCGGATTTATCGGGCATCTTTACTCGGTGATCCCATTATCAAACGCTGAGATTGTCAGAGGACATGGTTCGTATAGCAAGGAATTGACACCAAGGTGCCGGTCGATGCAGTGCCCCTTGCCAGCTGGTGAAGACCGTATGTGAAGCGGCTCAAGGGCGAGACATGTGCACACCATCTTTTGCTGTTGTCGATTCCCAGCCTCAAACCGGTACGGCTGCTCCTTGTGAAAGAGAAGACGACGGCGACTCCAAACAAATTCCGTAGCTACATTGAAAAAGAAGGCCGGCAGGGAGTGCAGTCGCCGTTGCACAGTATAACAGGCGACGGCATTCTCGGACGATGTTGGTTTGCTAGAGCGGCCCTTGATATTCAAAGTCGCGGTCAGTGGTACGTCAGTCACAAACGCGCAGCGCAGCAGTCCATCAGCCAAGTCTCCAGTCGGCGCACAGTCCCTGGAAAGTTTAAGGTACGGGCGTGTGGCACAGCTGCCAGTTGGCAGGGATTGAGTCCTAGATCCAGGACTTTTACCGCCTCAGTGCGTGACGGCGCCAGGAGCATTCAGCAAGGCGTCATTCGAACGATACGTACTGGCTTTATCTGTGCAGAAGGCAGCAGATACGGACCCGATGACCTCTCCTCCTGGACTTCCACGTCCCTCCATGTGGGTGCATATGCACGAATGGCTGGAGCATACCAGCGTAGCTTGGAGCTTGTGCAAGCTAAGGCTTTTCTCTCCATCTCTAGCTGGAGGGGTCTGCAGGCAAACGAGGCCACAGAATTGTCTGGGGCAGCGTATCGCCGCTCGCCATGATGTCTTGGCGGTGACTTGGTTAAGTATTGATCACAGATACGTGAAGCATGGCAATAGAAAAACATGAGTTGCCGGCTAGTTCGACGTACGAACGTCCCAATGGCTTCGCCTCGTCTGGAAGGAAGTGAGATCAGGCTAGTAGGTCTCTGGTCAGACGAGCTAGACTCCCTCAGGAAGCAGTGTTAGTTTCCGGGCTGAAGCTGCGGCTGGGGCTGTTGCTGCTGTCGTCGAACGTTTGCTTGACGGTCCTAACAGATGACTGTTCGTCCTTGACTCTCATGGCGGCCATGAATGATAATCTGACTGAGCCCCCGTACATCTGGTTTCAGCCCAAGCTTGGACCCTGAAGGCAGCGATCTTGGCCGGTTCCCCGAGATGCACTCTGCGGTATATGCTTCAGCAGAGGCGACACTGACCTAGACGAACATCAGCGCAAAAGGGGTCGACGTCGAGGCATAGGACAACAAAGTACCTCGCGTCATGATCCCGGCGAACGATACGGGGTTCTTGTGTTGTCCGTACCTTACCGTCGGGATTCTTGCTTGGATATGTTAGTCGTCAGTCAGTCCTGGGCCGGTGTATCGTGTCTGTGCCTGGAGGATTGACAGTGAAAGACCTTGATCAAATCAAAGGAATAGGACAGACGGGGCGATGGCCGAGGAAGATCCGTTGGAAGATGAAGGTCTGCGATACTTGGGTACATCTGAGACCAGAGACCAAGGTCAGCTCGGCATTTAAAGGTGCTTTGTTCGTCACTGTTTCCCTTCATTGGAGGCCCACTATCCGAATTGCCAGTCACAACAGCTCCGACCAACATTGACACTTGCCCTGCCTTGGAGATCCAGACCCGAGCTTGGAGATCACGACCAGCAGCAGGTCCCTGGCCGTCTTAACGCACCACCGCGGCTTCTGACGCAAGTCCGTCTCTCCTTTTCCTCCAGACTAGATCAACAACAAAAACGCGCTTTGCAGACATAATCTTCAAACGACAGCAAAAGCTCCGGGCCTGTGATAAGATCTCTCACTCTCCCTCTTCAGAACGGGCATCCATAGGCAGGCCGTCATTGTGCATATCGGGTGTCGCTTAGTGGACGAGATTCCCACAAGGCCAGCAAGACAGGGGCTCTCTGGTGCAAGTCGCCACCCAATTGAGAGGTGAGGGAACCCCCAGAAGCCACCCCGCCCCCTGTATCCGTAACGGCCCCTTCCATCCAAGTCGCATTTCAATTCGCCTTGTTTGGCTGCCTCAGGACACCGCCTTCCCGACTCCCTACCTTAATAATAAGGACACGCGCGCACTCACCTGCCAACCGGGGCAACGCAAGTACTGATTGTATGGCTATCGCAGCAAAAGTATACCTCTTGTCGTAAGCAGGAGGAAGAAAAAAAAAAACTACCTGGGAAAAAAAAAAACAAGGACACCCAGCCCGGCTCCCTCATCACACTCAACCGGCCGGCCAGCCCCGTCTGTCGGTCCTGAGGTGTGAAGTCCATTCACTGGCCGGCACAGCCAGTCAACGAGTGAGTTCTTTTGAACTCAGTCCCGTCACTGTTATCGTCGCTGGTTATTTCAGCTGAGAAGGCCACACCACTAATTGCCAAATACGCACAGCACAGCCCGGTACACACCGTCTACTGCGTCGCTGCATCCCGTCTGCATCAACCTAACACCAGGGACCACGCTATCAGCACTTCAGGCTCCGCTCCGCACCTTTGCTTTCCTGGTCTGTTGCGGCGCATTACGCAGAACGGATTTAAGATACTTTACGTTTGTCCAGCTGATCAACTGGCTACGAAGTATCTCAGTGTTATTGCTTCCAGCTTCATCATAAATCAATCCGACCGCATAAAGGGTGAGCAAGTGGTCAAGTCTCCCGTCTCTAGGTAAGAAACGATCAGAAAAAGAAAAAGACAAGAAGCCCAGACCACTTCGCCGCCTGCTGCACCTGCCTGCATCTGCACCACGAGGCCCGGTACCGACCGCTGCCTGCCTGCCTTGCCTGCGGTTGCCGTACCTTCCTTCCCTTGCCTACCTACTGACCTACTACATACCTAGGTAGGTACCTGCCTTACCAGCCCAGCCGTTCCTTCATTAGCACTACCTAAGCCTGCGCCTGCACCCTGGATTGTTACCTTAGGCCTCCCCCTAATCCCTCCCACCCGCATCTTTGTCTCCCTCTCCGGCGCCGCTGCTGTTGCTGCTGCTGCTGCTGTCGCTGACTGCTGGCACTTCCATCGTACTAGCACTGGCCACTGCTGCTCCCGCCGCCGCCTCGCTCTCACTCACAATCCTTCTCTCGCTCTCTGTCTCTGCTCTGCTCTGCTGGTCTCTCTGGCCCCCGTCCCATCTGCTCTGCCTTCTTTTCCCTCCAGTCCCTCTTCTGACACGCCCCCCCCTTCCCCAACACACAAGCCTGCCTGTTGTGCCTGCGCCTGCCCTGCTGCACTGCTTGCACGTCGTCGTCAAGTGAACTCCACCCGTTACTACCACGCCGTACCTTACTTCTACCCATCCCATTCTCTTCCACCTTCAGATTCCCCCTTCCGACGCAGCTCTTCCTTCTCCATCTTCTCCGCCTCCAACTCAATCCGACCTCCAACGTCCACTCTCTCACATATAAACAACAGACATCATGGCTGAGATCCGCCGAAAGCTCGTCATCGTCGGCGACGGTGCCTGCGGTAAAACCTGCTTGTTGATGTGAGTGTCCTTCCCTCCAGCCTCTGTCTCCCTCTCGCCGCCTTTCGCGAGGCCCCAGCGAGCATCATCAATCATCGTCGCATCGCCGACGGGAAACCCCAAAACGATGCACCTCTCCTTTTTGCATCCACTCTAGTCATCATCGCGCTGACATCAAGCAGTGTCTTCTCTAAGGGCACTTTCCCCGAGGTAAGATCATCTCCTCACGACAGCCGATGCGGCTTCCGCCTCCTGTTTCCCCGACAAGACCTGGCCGAGATGCAGCGTTGTTCCATCACCGCTTCAACCAGCACGACTTCGCCAAGCGATGCAGCACCCGCCTTTCATCAATCCATTTCCGATCCCGAAATCTTCTGACAACTAATTCAGGTCTACGTCCCCACCGTCTTCGAGAACTACGTCGCCGATGTCGAGGTTGATGGCAAGCACGTTGAGCTGGCCCTTTGGGATACGGCTGGCCAGGAGGATTACGACCGTCTTCGCCCCCTTTCTTACCCCGACTCCCACGTCATTTTGATTTGCTTCGCCGTCGACTCTCCCGACTCCCTGGACAACGTTCAGGAGAAGGTACGATTTTTTTACCCCTTGTCTACCAATACACGGGTCGCGTCCCGATAAGCGATTATCGCTAACACGTGCTCCTCTTCCTGTAGTGGATCTCCGAGGTTCTGCATTTCTGCCAGGGCCTTCCTATCATTCTCGTCGGCTGCAAGAAAGATCTCCGCTATGACTCCAAGACGATTGAAGAGCTGCGCAAGACCAGCCAAAAGCCCGTCTCCCCTGAGGAGGTAAGCTTATCCGCCCGTTCAGTTCGCCTCAGGCATCTCTACGCCGGCCAACTCCCAACATATCCATCGAAACATGCTAATCATCTCTACAGGGTGAGGAGGTCCGCAAGAAGATTGGCGCCTACAAGTACCTCGAGTGCTCGGCCAAGACGAACGAGGGTGTCCGCGAGGTGTTCGAGCACGCTACCCGCGCTGCTCTGCTTTCCCGCAGCCGGAGCAGCGGCAAGAAGCACAAGTGCATGGTTCTCTAAATACCCCTCTGGGCGAACATCCCAAAACCCTTTCTCCCTCTTCGACCTCACCCCCATTTGTAATCATCAAGTTCCCGGTCACCATTGTCTTTTCCCAATTCTTCGGATGAGAGAGGGTTTGTGGTGGCGGTCTGGAAGGCGGGGGCAATATCTGCCTGCATAGGTTCTCGGAATTTGGAGTTTTGCTCAATCATTGTGTCTCATAACAAACCTGGCACATTGGTCGGCGTGTCACCGTGTCTGGTTCTTCGGGGTTCTTTTACTGAATCTATTTTCTTTCCCTGCCGAACGGTGACTGGGAGAAGCAACAGCTAGCCATGACTCCGATAAGAAGCTGCGAGGGAGGCCGAGTTCAACCGCGGGTTGGCTCTTCTCTCTTTGGTCAATGGGGAGGAAAGGGCCCAGTGGCTGGCGTGACCGCCGGCTGCCAGGTGACGATATGAACAGTGAGTCATTTGGTGACTTTCGGAACGGCGGAATGGCAATGGTTGATTTTTAAGCTGTGGGAATGGTGCGTCTTAGCCGAAGTGTCGCGACGAAGCCCGGCTACATCATAAATCTTGTCGTGTTTTTTCTCTTTTGACGCCTCGCAGCTTTAGATGGCGGAGATGGACATGTTGTTTTTGGGCCGCTTCTTCTTCTCTCTTGTCGATTCTCTCAATCCAGGTCTTTGATAACTCACTTGTGGTATTCCCTCTTGATGACATGGCGTCCTCCGCTCTACTTCCAGCTCAACCAAGAAGTGATTCGTCCGCGTCCATGGCCCAAGATTCCGTCATAGCCGTCATACTCACGTGTCAGAGATCCTCAAAGATGGGATGAAAACACGGGGTTTGTCAGGCACCATCACTTTCAGAACGCGGAGTCGCGATGGACCGTGTAAGGTAACCAAAGCAACACGCAAGATAGTCGCATATGTTATTGGGAAAGGAGCCCGCTGTTTAGAGTTTGGTGTACTTGATGTCCCGATCTATAACCACATGACAGTCGTCGTTCTAAAGATAGGGCAGCGAGTGCCGGTAAGGGAAAGTGAAGACTTGGGGCTTTCTTGGGGTAGCCGTGGTTGCAAGGTTAGACGGCGGTGTCACGTTGATTACGATGCCCCGCCTCTTGGTAAAGGGGACGGCCCTGTTCCGTGGGCAGCAAGCAGCAAACACCATCACACGCGACTTGGGATCTTTTGAGGC